TTTATCATGTATGGCATTTGATAGAACCACTGATAGTGCTCCTTACCTAATATATTTTCCAATTGAATCTATAACCATTTAGAAAAGTCATTTAAATTATAAGCTCATGGAACATGACAATAAATTATGTTCTTGTTTATACGTAGATATTAGTCAAAACATGGTACAGAAAGCTTCTTTAATAATATTATGTAGATATTTACATATTTACAAACCATAAGTATTTGTTCATAGAGAAAAAACTCAATTCACGCGTCATGAAGATTTGATGGCCTACCCCGAGGAGTTCATTTTACAATTATAAACAATTTTGCAGAGCACTTGGATTTTTCAAACTTAATTTCATTCATTATAGATAGACAAAATGCTAGATAAGTGTGATACCCAAAAATGCCTAAGTTTCAAGAAGAGAACCAAAAAACCTTGAACTTTGTACTCTACTTGAGAAAAGGTTGAGGATCGTCGTGTGCTGCGATGCTCCATTTGACATAAAGTAATCAGCCATAGTCAATTGCTTAATTCACTTGCTTGTGGAGCTTTGAAGATTCAACATCAAAAGTCGGCCTAGCACACAAGTTAATTGGTCAAGCTCTAAAGATGTGAAAAAGTATCTCACTTTTAGGCCTCTATTTTTTAATCTTCTATTTTTTTTATCACGTATATAAAAGCTCAAGCTATAAATACACATTAATTTGAAAAATGCAATTGAAATATCACGCATCATAGGAAAGGAACAGAGCATAGATGAAAATTCCATTTATTAGGAAAAGAAAAACTGATCGAAGAACATGAAACAAGCTTCAATATTTTCTCTTTAGTCGTAGCTGATCCAGAAGGCACCATATTCGAAACCATAAAAGGGGAGGGGGGACAAATACATTCATCCAGAAATTCACAAAGAACAACTAAATAGTGTTGCAAATCAAATTAAGAATCAAGAATAAGTTATCAAATATTTTTTCACAAAATTCACTGCTTCATGCAAGTAGTAAAGGCAATGTCAATGACATAGTAAGTTACTATAAGACAAGCAAAAACTATTTTACCCCAGAGAAGTCAATTGTGCTTGGTAAAGTAGCTATAACTCTTTTCTTCAAGCATTTTCCTCATTTTGTCATGTTCCCAGTTTTTACACTCATTCTCCGTGATTGATTTTAAGATCAGGCCCAAAAAAAAAAAATTCTCACATGACATAATGTAGAAAGAGAACTTTATTATCCTTATCTGCAACTTTAAAATAATACTGATTAAACACCAAAAGTCACTAAATCCTATTACCTTTACACTATATATTACAAGATGACAAGACTAGATTGTACATGGATATGCTATTCACAAGAACAAAGTTAAACTAAAAAAAGAACCGAGAGGGCAAAAAGAGCAAAAGACAAATGGAAAGAGAACATCAAGGGTTGCCTTAGATTGATCTTTGTGATCATTAACGCAGCATGAGGGAGGAGAGGGGAGTACAAAAGCTAGCCCATACTACAAGTGATTCGTAATGTTTCTTGAACAACAAAAGAGTAAGACCTATGTACACATTATTGCATGGAAATTGGAAAACATATTTATCAATATTTTATTGCAGAGTCCATATTGAATTCATATCACACCTTACTATATTTGGATATCTTATCTTCATATTTATACCCATAGACATTTACATGGGTGCCTTGCTTACTAACAAACTTCAACCCATCCTCCTACTACTCATTATTTCCAGATAACAAAAACTTTCAAAAGGAAGTCACACCATACATAATAGTACTAAAGCTTGGAACGTGGAAGGTGAATGCATCTAGGGATGATATGAAAGACCAAAAAAAAAAAGATGGAATAAAATATTTTAAAGATAAGAGGACAAGGAATCGTAATAGTAAAATAACAAGTCCTTTTAAAGGTTATCAAATAGTTTTTATATTGTAAAATTCAAAAGTTAATGAAAAGATGTGATTACTCACATTGGCAAGATATATGAAAGGCTTAGTGTAAGCAGAGCCAGCCATGACTAGAACCACAGTAGACACAACCAATAACCATCTCCAACAATTCATCATAAGGGACCTTAATTTTGATAAAAAGAATTGCCAGAGTGATCACAAATGTCAGAATCTCTTTAGTCGTAACTCTAACATGCAAATCAACTTTCAATGATGGTCCTCCAATCGTTTAAAGCTCGAGCAAAAATCTCCTGCCATCACAAATACGCTCAACTTTTCTACCTCGATTGTCTCTTTGGTTCTCTGATTTGAGATTGTCTCTCTTATTTAATCTCTATCCATGCTGCGCGAAACTTCTAATGGTGCTCAGATGCACAGTTGCACATAAAGAGATGAAAGATCCAACTTGTAACGTGCATTATTGCCTAGAAATCGTCTCTAATTTACTGTATTGTTCTCTCCCAACAACAAAAGGCATTTTGGTTCATTCATCCCATCCTTTTTTGAATATTAAAATGAGTTTGGTCTTTTAATTCCATTTGGTCCCTAGGCATAATTTTCCTCCCAACCAAGTCCTTTTCACCAATTTTCTCAATTTATTTTTTTTTATAATATTTCTTCTCAACTTTTTAAAGATGGTGCATCACTGCCTCTCCTATTATTAAAGGTTAACTTTGATTGTTAGTTAACTAAAAAATTATAAAAAAAAACTTCAATAATTATAGAAAATGACAAAAAATATAGAAAATAACCTAAAATTACAGACAATCCAAGAAATTACTAGAAAAAAAATTTTTCTTGGTCATTTTTTAATAGTTTTTGAAATATTTTTTTATAATATTTTGTTCAACTAATGATCAAAATTAACATTTGTTAATAGTAATGACATTATTGCATTTTTTCCAAAAGTAATAAAAAATACTGCACTAAAAATGAATTTATGATCCTTATACTCCTAGATAGATAGTTTATGAGTAAAATTATCATTTAATGCTTATTTATCTGAGACATTTGTGCCTAGCCATATAGTTACCATACTGCACATTCCTTAGTCTTCTTATTCATTCACGATTAATTTCCTTCCTATTCTTCCTCTTTTTTTTTAACAAGAGAATTATTATTCTCATACTTGATATAAAAAATTTTAACATATTTCTTAAAATGAAAAGTTAATTGTATCATTATTATGTAAACATTATTATGACGTTTATTTTCTCCCCTAATAAAATATAATCTATTTGAAAAAGCATGTGTTCTTTATTGTCCTAATAAGAAATATACTAGTGAGGGGTTGAATTATTTAATAGAAAAGGCTAACTACTCGCAATATAACAAATTAAAGTTTAAACCCTTATCAAGAAAATTGTTTACATTTAATGGTCAATCATACTTCTAATAGAAAAACACCTATGTGAAACTAAACATTAATAAAAAGGATATTTTTAAAATAAAATAATTAATAAACTCTTGTAGAATGACCTATGTTTTTTTACCCTATATAACTGAGGAAGAAGCACCTTATTAGCAATGACAACTTCACTTTATTATACATTGCAATTTAATACTATTCATATACCAGCCAGATTTATTGTAGTTTTAGAAAGGTGATACTAGTTGTGTTTGAGGTTCACCATCAACCGAAAGATTGTAAAAATATTTGGACTTTTATGCTTGTAAAAATAATTAATTCTCATATTTATATCATCAATACCAACAAATGACGTTGTTGTATCTGTGTAGGTCTTCCAGACTATAATTCAGACCAAGATCAAAATAAATATAAACATAAATTGAAAATCGCATCCCACCTGATCATTAGGGCTGCGATGCCAGAAGATAATAGATGGACTCCCAAGTCCAAACGGTGACATAGACATCATTTCTTGTTTTGAGCTTAAAGTACAGACTATAACCAAAGGCCCAATTCTATCTTGAGCCCATTTATTTTTTAAATTATAAAAAAGAGAAAAATAATTTACAAGTCCTAATAGTTTTTCTTGATGTTGAATTGGCTCTTTATAATTTATTTTATTTTAAGAAAAAAAAAATTATCAATATTATAATTTTATTGGATTTTTTTAATTTCTGTATTTTTTTTAATATTTTCAGTCTTTTATAACTTTAGAAAGATTATGTGATATTTATTTTTGAGGTCCCTATATTTTTTATTTTATTAAATATTTTTAATCCCTATAAAGATTGAAATACTAAAAAAAATTATGAGAATTAAAAGCAAAATTCATGAAATTATAAGACTAAATATTATGTTATTCTTTGTTTTAATCAAGTCTTTATAATTTGATTTATTGTATGTGATTAACCCTTGAAGATTAAAATTCAAAAAATAAAAATACTTTTAGAGTTTATTAAAAATTGAATTTAATAATTTTCTCCAAAATTTAAAAAATTAAAATTAATTTAATACATTTTTTACATTTTTATTAATTTTTTGTAAAAATTTTACATATATAAAAATATTTAGAGGATAATCTAATTATATAAATTTTGAGTTATAAAAAATATGTAATTAATTTTAAATATATATAATCATTTAATAAAAATATTAACTTCTTAATTTTTTTAAGGAAAATTTTAAGGATTTTAATTTTAGATATTAAAAAATTTAATTGATTAAATTACAAGAATTCAATTAAAATAAAATAAATTGTAGGAATTTAATTTAAAATTAAGTGAATTTATAAGGATTTATAGATATATTTTCACTAAAAAAATAAGAAAGAGAAAATGTAAACAGGAGAATGACAGTAAATTCCAAAAATTTAAATTAATGATATCATAATAATTTTTTAAAAAATAAGTTATAAATATTAATTCAAACAAATAAATTCAAAAGTTTTAATTATAGATAACATATTTAAATTAAAAATGTAATTTTTATATTATATTTGAGATTCTTGTTTACGCTTGTCTAAATTTATCTTCACAACTAATTTTTTTTTAAATTTTGTTAGAAACTCAGTTATCATTAACTTAAAATTTTGGGACTTAACTATTATTTTTTTCAATGTAGAAAACGCATAACTGTGTTGCGTTTTGGCCAAAGCCACCTCCATCAGCTTCCGCTCCCCCTCCCTTGACGTCGCTTCTCAGAATCGACCTGAGGCCGGAGCAAGTTGAGAACGAGAAGAAAGGGGAGACCAAAGCGTGAAGAGGCAAAAGCTGTCAGGCTTTTCCAATTGACCTGCCTCTCCATTCCCTCAAGGACCCAAGCGTCTCCCAGGAGCTAAGCGGCGTTTCCGCTTTACGCGAAGGACCCCAAGAATGGGCAGCAAGAAGAGGAAGAGGAAGGAGGAGCGACCCACTATTCATCCCAGGAACAAGTACTCAGAGAACCCTCCAGACTTTGCTCAATTAGCTTCTCTCTACCCAACCTTCCAACCTTTTGTCTACTACTCCCATGACGGTCGTCCCAACATTGATTGGACCGACTTTAACGCCACCCGAGAACTCACCCGCGTTTTGCTTCTCCATGATCATTCTCTTAACTGGTAATTTGATTGGTTTTACTATGGGCTTAAAATTTTTACTTTTCTGTTTCTATACAATGCATTTGTTTTCTCGTCCGTTTCTGTTTATTGTAACTGCGTCTTCCGGTAGCAGTTTCAGTTGAATTAACGGAGTTAAGGGTGTTTCATGCTTATTTGTGGTACTTAATTCGCGAGCTACATTCATTTTGAGTTTAACGAGCTCATGTTATCTGGTGACTCTGATTCCTATTGAAAAATTTCCTATTGTTTTATCCTGTTGACTGAATTGTGGTGAATGGAGATTATTAGTAATTATCTTTGTGTGCATAAAGTGAAAGATGCTAGTTGCTATTCCATTTCTCCCAACCAATCTGCAAATTCTGTTTTCCATTGCCAAACAACGATAAACAAATTTGCAAATGCAGTCCTATTCTCTCTTTAGCAAGAGTTACTTTTGACCTCTGTTTACGATGGATCATGCCAAATTCAATTCTTTCTGGCTCACGTCAGACCTACCTACGCGATCCTCCTCAGGACCCAATGGAATCTGAAAAATTTATTCTACTAGAATCAATATCAGCGGAAGACCAACAAATTGAATCCTGGCTAGTGAAAGGATTGTGATATTCTAACGGTGTTATCTTCAAGAAATTATTCATTCTGTTTGGTTCTATGGCATGGAAGCCTGTGTTGACTGCCTTTTTGGTTCCAATTTTTAGGTGGATTCCCGATGGTCAGCTCTGCCCTACTGTACCCAACAGGTCTAACTACATCCATTGGGTTGAAGATCTTCTCTCTTCTGACATCATTCCGCATACCAGTTCAACTGGAGATAAGGTGAGAGGATTTGATATAGGAACTGGAGCAAACTGCATTTACCCACTTCTTGGTGCATCACTTCTTGGCTGGAGTTTTGTAGGGTCAGGTATATATTATCTTGAGTGGTATTGCTGTATTTTGGGTCTTTAGCTGGAGCTTCTTAGATATGGGTATTCTCTTTTTGGTAACTCCTGTGAACTTTGGATCTGTACTGAACTACACTCAAATGGCTGCAGATGTTACTGATGTTGCAATAGAGTGGGCAAGCAGAAATGTTCATAGTAATCCACATATTTCTGATTTAATTGAAATTAGAAAAGCTGAAAGCAATGAAAATGCTGTCTCTGTTGAAGCGTGTCATAATGGAGAGTTGCTCTGCAATGAAAGTAAGATAGATTTGAGTGGGACATTTGGTACAGAGGTACCTCTTGAGCCTTCATTACTACTTGATTTGCATCCCAGCTGTAATAACAATTATTATGGACCACCTATACTTCTTGGGGTAGTCAGGGGTGATGAAAAGTTTGATTTCTGCATGTGTAATCCTCCATTTTTTGAAGCTTTAGAGGCAGCAGGACTTAATCCAAAAACTTCTTGTGGTGGTTCTCGAGAAGAAATGGTTTGCCCTGGTGGAGAGAAGGCCTTCATCACTCGTATTATTGAAGATAGTGCTGCACTTAGACATTCTTTCCGGTACCATGATTTGTTTATGAAAAAATCTATTGCCATTTCCTTCATTGTTTGTGATAAATTGACTAGAAATTAGTGCTCATCCTTGCGTGCAGTTGGTACACTTCAATGGTTGGGAGAAAATCAAACCTTAAATACCTTATATCAAAACTTTGGGCAAATGGAGTGACCATAGTGAGGACAACTGAATTTGTTCAAGGCAAGACATGCCGATGGGGGCTTGCTTGGTCTTTCTTGCCTCCAATGCAGAAGAAGATATCAACCTCCCTTCCTGAGAAGACTAACATGTCTTTTATGCTTGAGGTGTGGTATTTTAATTGCTGCATTTAAGAATTACATTTCTTTGGGGCTGCAAATAAATAATCTTGTTGGTTGTTTTTCCTATGCCAATCGAATGACGATGTGAATAAAAAAGTAATGATATGAATGGAAAAACTGTCAAGTGACTGCTTCTTATGCCATATAATGTGTTAGGGCCATGTGAAAACAATAATGCACTACAAAGATGGTTACGCATGATAAGACATGATTTCTTGGAAGTTTTGTTATACACATTATTTATTTATTTATTCATTTTTCATGCTATTGTACTAATAGATTTATGTCATAATGAGTAAACTATTAATTTAAAAGTGTATTAAATAACAATCTAACTAGTCGCTTTTGGGATTCAAATTACGAATAGGATCACGAGAGTGTGGATTTGGTCAATGCAAGTTAGCTTACTAAAAATGTGTTCCTGATAGTTCGATGGAAATGTAGCAAGTTCTGAAACATTTTTGACTAATCTGTAAAAGGACGCCAACCATTCTAACGTAAATTTGGGAACCTCAAGTGACAGCTTGTAGAAGCTTCCCCTCCCTGCTGTCCCTGGGGACCTTTCGATCTGTGCATACATAATGGCCTTACATTACCCTATCATTCTAATCGATACACCAAAAGAAAACTTCTTATTGGTGGGTGAGCTTTCAATTTTTGCACACGGAGGTCAGCATTGTTGATTGAGCTGATCAGTCCAGGGAAAATTATGGCTGCATTTGTGTGTCAATTACCAGCAGGAAAAAAGATGACATCGACAAGTTTAAATGTTTTCATCATTAGGATAAACACAGTGTTGCCTATAACTGGGCTTCTGTTTTCCTTTCATATAATTTATATTCATGCTCAAATGATATACCGCTCTTATTTTCCTCCTGTTGTTGCATATGAATTTTACAATGCAAATGTATCTTTCAGTGTATTCAACGCCATCATGGGGCCATACATGTGTTGCAAGCTGTCGAGTCCTACTTTACGTTGCACAGCTTGCCCTGTACACTGAATTCCTCCTCTTTCACAGTGGATGTAAGACGCGCTTCTCTAAGTCTCCCAATTTGTGATTTACATAATGTTTGATGGCTGTTACGCATAATCTCATTCATAGGTTGAGGCATCAAAAGATGAGTGTGATTCAATCTTGAAGAATGAGTTGCCATTTATTCATGAATGCGCCCAATCTGAATCTGGGAGAGCAACATCTGATGGATCAAGTTATGGCAACACTAGTCATGATAAATTATGCTTCCGTGTTTCGGTATGCTTTCATTCTTTACTGACTTGATATGATATTTCTTGGTAAAAGTTGCATTGACACCCTGCTATCTATTCCACACTAAAGGTTTTCCAGCAAATTCCTGGGACGCTACTGGTGAAAGGTTCATTGCAACAAAAGAGTAGCGCACTATCAGGTGTTTGTGCAACCTGTTTTTCCAATTTTAATTTACCTATACATTATTACAGTTTGATTAGTATTTTGGCCCACGGCTGACTCTAGAGGGTTTTGGTGGTTTGCATTGCACTGTGCACATCATAAGCGTTGTGGGTCTGATCATTTAGGTCAAGATAGAACAGGATATTCCTCTTTCTTTCACGATTCTTATGCATGGTCTCCCCCAATCTCTGCACCTTATGTCATTGGTTTCCTGCATTTGAACTGAATTCTCATTTCTGGAGTATTGAGCTAGAGTGAGTGAATAAAGCACTCAGTTATTGCTTATTCTGTTTGCAGGGGCATTCTCTTTGATATTTCAAAAAATGGAGGAAGATTTGCGGGGTAAATTTTGTATAGATAGAAGATCAGCTTAGGATTTGGTTGAGTCTTTAGCAACAGGAAGTCGCAGGGTTACTGCATTAGAGTGGAGTAGATACTTGGTTATATTTCATTGTTTTTGGACAGAAGTGTCATTTCAATTATTGGGTTCGGCTTGACGCCTTGTGTTTTGGACTTTGGTTGGATGGGTGTTGATTTGTCTATCGTGCATTAATGGCTGGCGGTTTCTTTATGGAGATAATCTTTGCTTTGCTGTATGGCATTCATTGGTTACGTGGCGAGTGGGACTCTGCCAATCATTGAATTTCTGCCTCTTGAAAGCTGGAAAGGGGGAAAAAAAAAAAATTTCAATCGTATTGGGTTTTGAACCTTCTTGGAAGGTATTTCCTATGTGGTCAATGGAATTTGGAATTTTATAGAAGATAACGTGTACGATGCATGCTTACGTGGAATCACGGTTGATGTCGAATCTAGTGGGAACATTCGGGAATGGATTTTAGTTTATTAGAATATTAAGAAACAGTTCCTCTTGAACTCGTGTCTTGAAGGGGAGAATGTTCTTGCTTTTAACTTTCTCTTCTCAGATCGTTGTTTAAAAAAAAAAAAAAAAAACTCTCTTATCAACTCAAGAGTTCCAGAGAATAATGAAAAATTTACTCTTTCTGATTTTATTTATTTCCTTCCTTAAAAAAATTGAAGGCATTTTTAGAAGAATTATGTGTTAAAAATGTAAGATATTTTTAATGTTTTAAAAGTGTAATTAATTTTTTTTTCAAAATTTTTTTAATAAATAAATCATTTTATCTTGTATAAAAAATTATTTTATATTTATTTTTAAGGGAAACATCTTATTAAATAAAGGTAAATAAAAAATAAAGTTAGTTTAAAAATAATTAATTATTTTATTAAAAGGTAACATTTAATTAAAAATATTTTATTTTTTAAACAAGGAAGTATAAGTTATTTTTAATTATCTTATTAGAATAAAGAGTAGTTAAATTATTGATATTTTTTTAAAATTTAAATTTATTTTTATCAAATGTATCATCTTTAAAACACTTCTTTTAATCGTTCAAACGTATCATTTTATTAGAGGTATAATTATATATTAAATGTGAGTTTTTTTTTTTTTTTGACGAGATATGAACTTTGGTTTGTTAAGTGAGTAACTAACTCTTTTCATTAGACTGAAACATCCTTTGGTATGTTTGTCATGAGAAATAAAATTGGAACAAAGAAATTACAAAGTAGTTCATAAAATGTGAATTCTTTTTACCGAGACAGTTATTGTTAGGTGTTAACGTGCTAATATGAGATACATAAAACCCCCCCCCCCCAAAAAAAAAAAAAAAGAATCTTTCCATCCGCGATGACGATTACTCCATTGACAGCTTATTCATCTATATTAAGCCTGAGTTCTAAGCCTGGATAATATTATTTCATAAATATATGTTATATTTTTCAATTTTTGATAACAATACATCGTTAATCGCCATGACCCTGAAACTAAACTAAGGTTAAATTGAAGCTTAAAGTTTCGTCATTCATCTTTATAATTTAAGAAAAGTTATAATGAAGTCCCTACAATGGATTCTTTCGTTAAACTTTGATGATTGGAAACATAATTATCGATCGCCAAAAAAATTCTCGATCAGCCAGTCTGTCTCACTCAACCAACATATGGGATACCCGACTCGATATATTGTTTGGTCCAAATAAAATTTCTATCTATTAATTTTGACAAATATATTAATATAAAGTTAATAGCAATTTTTCAAACTTTATGCGGAATATATGAGAACTTTCGAATTCATCAACTTGAATAAATAAACAAAATTCACAACATCATAACATAGGTTTTATGGGAGCCCACAGTGGACTAAAATAAATAAATTTACAAGCCACAAGTAACCCAGACCGGTGTGATAATCACATTACAATTTACAAAGAAAAACCAAAAGACGTGAGACATGTACACAGCACTGCAGAAACAAAAACCATAATGAACTGAGACTGGCGGCACCATGTTGCAAGCATTACGCAGATATGCAGAATAATGAGAGAGTAGAAATGAAATTCCAAAACTAAACGAGATTCAGGCTTTCCCTTGAACCCTTGCATGAGTAAGGCCAACACAAGCATCCACAAAATCCTCATCTGTGAAATCCGTAGAAAATACCTGTAGTCTGTCTCCAATTCCCTTGGAATAACACTGCGATATAAACAATCTGTTATAGGCGTGGATCCTTCTCGTCACTGGTTTCACGCACACCACTGGGTTATCCGCCACCGGCGTCACCGTATTCTCCACCCTGTAAAAGTACTTCCTCGACGCCGCCGCCGGCTGGTCCCCCAGGTGCTTCAAATTGCTCTCGAATTTCGTCGATGGCAAATCAGTCTCGATCCAGTTATCCTTCAAATACCCTGCACTCCACAGCGGACTTCCCGCTCCCGGATGAGCTGATTTTCTCGGCTTCCAAACACATATAATCCTCTTGGGCAACACTTCCGCTATAGTCTTCTGAAACACGTGATCGTCCTGGTGGATCAGGAACTCGCCCAGCTGATCGATCAAGTACTTGTCGAATTCAGGGGGGTCTTCGTGCCCGAACTCCGTTCGGATCTCCAGGATTATGATCTCTGATTGGGTTTCCGATAGGAACTTCTTGACGTCGTTGATCACGACGTCGACGCTGTAACTGGTGAGTATTCCGTGGCAGACCCGTCGGTTCTTCTCGATCCGGATGTCGAGGAGCCGGGTCCCCATGACGAGCTGTTGGTAGATCGATAGGGATTGGCATCCAGCGAAAGGACGAGTGATGAGAGGGATTCCTATTTTGTTAGTCGCAGAATCGTGAGTTCCTGGCCACACAATCTTGTTGATATGAACTTTCTCCGGGTTGAGCTCAGACATCCAGTTTTTTCTATCCTGTGGGTGAAAATCAGCGCCCGGGTAGTCTTCGCCGGAGACTTTGAGATCAGCCAGAGATTTCTTCTCTGTTCGGATTTTCTTTCTCCGTTCAATTTGTTTGGAACATCGAGAACCCATGTTCAGAGTAAAAGAACGACAACAAGGTGATGATGAATGACGAGGAAGAGGAGGAGAAGGAGGGAGAATTCCCAGTTCTTCCGCGTCCACAACTAGGAAGCTGATGAAGGCATTGAATTGCTGGGTAAGAGCATCAACATATTTATGAACATAAATAAATTGAATCAAACAACAAATGATGAATTGGTGAGCGGGGACTAACGGTGATAGGTTATGATTTTCTGTTTTATTCACCTTATTTGTCTGTATTATATCTTAATGGATTGTAGTTGATGTATTATTTAGCGTATAAGAAATAGTTTCGTTACACTTAATCCAGTAAATATGGATTCAGGAAACTAATCATGAACGAACTTGTATAAACGACTAAATAAGTAAAATTAATATAATACTCCGTATACATCCATGACCAATGATCTTTTCTTATAATGTGAGATATGATGTAATACAAGCTAGCAATGTCTATAATGTAACAAGTTTTTTGAAAGTTAAAATACTACATTACTATTAAACATTTTGATACTTTTTTATAAAAAAAAATTTAGTTTCGTTTATGGTTACAGACTTACAGTAATGTGTTAATTGATGAATGTTCAGTAGGCTGGTAGGACCTTGTTCGGGTCCGTCGATGTCATTATTGGTGGGGAGCCATAATCGAGGGTTTGTCCATGGTTGGTCCACTTGGATGGATGGATGGATGGCCAAACTTTCTTTGTCTTATTATACATGTGATGTGAAGGTGATCCAAGCCTCACCGTAATAGTATTAACTGAAGATAAAATCTTTAGATAGAAAAATGAGTTATATTAAAATAAACCATCGTCAAAACCAAAACAAACACAAGGGGAATGAAAATAAATAAAAGAACCAACAACTTCTCACGTCAAATTTTCCGATCTGTCAGATTCCGCAGCAGTTTTATGACCAAACTTTTTCAATACTCGTTTAAAAACATCCCTTTTTTCATGACTTTAAGACATTTTAGCTCACCCAAAAGCGGGAAATTTTGATGAATACTGTACACATGCATATTAAGATATTAGTTAATTTATCGTATTAGTTTTAGACAGATCTATTCTTTTGACAACGCCAAACATCATTTGGATCAGTGTGAAATTATTAATATTTGAAAGAAGATGGTACAAAAAAGAGTTGGTGTGTGTACATGTGAAAACCACTTCTATCTTCATTCATTATCTAATTTCTTTTTATCAATCTAAAATTCTAAAAATCACTTTTTTATCAACGTGTTCCACTCCACGACCAAAATTATATATTAAAAAAAGGGTCTGATTCGACCTAGACGAGATTATCTCCTTCAATTTATTAAAGCATTTTTCTTCGATGGAAGTATATATTTCCTCCTTTTATCTGCGAGTTTAATAGGTTTAATTTGTTTTGGGTAAGGAATTTACTAGGTTTTAGTGCTAACCGTAAGAGCGTATCTCTATTGGTAAAGGTGGGGCAGAGTCCAAGGATTCATGCGTATTCATGGGCCTTCATGCCTTTTGGGTTAATGGGATCTTCATTGTAATTTTACGCTAGAACTCCTCTAACATGATCACAATTAAAGTCTGATCATTTCATTCCATAGGTGAGTTCAATTTCACTTATATATTCTGCAAATCATGAATATTATTATATGTATATATATATATATATATATATTTGAATTTACCCCATATAACATAAACAACATATTTGGTTATTAGTTTCAATAGTTAATTAATTATAGACATTATGTAATATTCTGGATTTTAACCTCCAAATTTAATTATTTAATTAAAGGGTAAAAAGGTAAAATTATGTTAATTAATTCGTTGACGATTAGTGATAGCTAATGGGCCTAGTGGGTTTTGAGTCACTTAGATCCAAGAAAAAAGGCAAAGTTTTAGGCCGGCTCGTCTGTGCCATTCACAGAGGTGAATAGGGCTTCTCACTATGGAAAATGGTCAAAATTTTAAATCACCAACTCGCATTCGAGCTATAGAAAGGAGAAGAGAATCAGAGGAGAGGGCAATAGGAGACACACGGATTTTGCTACGACATGAGTTCATTAGTATTTTGGAGGAGATTTAAGCTTGTTTTTACTTGGGTATGTCTTCCTTTTCCCTCTTCCTACCCTCTACATGTCCGAAATTGATTCTTCTATATGGGAGATGTTGATTTCAGACCTAAGGGCTTTAAGTCTAAACCCATTAGTCATGATGGGATCAATGAGAGTTATTTAACACTTCTAAACTTAATTTTGAGGATCTTATAAGGTTATGAGTTTGGGGTTAAGGTTTTGGACGAAACCTAACCACTTCAAGGAGAAATTTGAATTGTTGAATGTTGTAACTGTTGATATTTAAGCTAATGAGAGCTAAATAATGTTAGTGGGAGTTGATAACTCATTGGTTGTAATTTTGACCTTATGGTTGGAAATATGAATTGTTAAAGTGTGAGTTTTAATAGTTTGGAAGTGAGAATTTATTTGCTATTTAGTGATATTAGTTGTTTATAATTGTATATTATCATTGTCACACAAGTTTTGAGCTCGATCCTAGCTTGTTAGATTGATTTAGGTTGCTTTGTGAATATGGCTATTGGGAGCTTAATCAATTATAAACCTAATTATTGTTTTAGAAAAATATACAAGTGGAGTTTTTCTTGATTTTCCATTAAAGCAAATTATGTTGAAATGTATTTATACAGTTGAAAGATTTTAATATGAGATGGTAAAGCTTTAAATGCATACTTATGATAGTTTGCCCATATTATCTATGTATGCTTGAGTAATGTGATTATGCATGGTGATAAAATGTGCATGATCATGGCTTGCACCGAAGGATGCCCTAGAAGGAGTAGATTATATTTCTACATGAAACTATATAACTAACACTATCGGTAGCCCCAATGTGTGGTTTTTATAAGCTGACCCTTTCTAAATCTCAACCTGTATTGGGTGTAAGCATAGATGTCCTGACTTGTTGCCCTTTTATATCACCTTGGGTTGGGTATGGTGTTGGGCATTGCGACACCTTAATGGATTCAAGAATTGAGGGAATCCGTGTTCGAGATTGAGCTAGGCATCTTTGGCCATGTGTCTCTTCATGATTGGTAAGCTTGGGCTAGTTTATTCACACAGACTCAATCTTATTATATTATCATTCTATGGTGTTCAGTCGATAGTATATAGAGGAGATAAGGAGTTTATGTTCATGTATTGGATTGTATCATGGGATATGATACATGAGTGTTGTGATATTATGCTTTATGCTATAATGTATTTTATACAAATACCTAATTTACATGCCTTTATTGATTTGACTTGCATGTGTGTGATTTAAAGCATTTCTTGGTTATTGAGTATTTGTACTCAACTTATTTACCATTTTATAGGCACTAGCTTCGGCAAAGAAAAGGGAAAGACTTTTAAGGGTTAAGAACTCCAATTCTTATTTTATAGCCTCTATCTTTTAGATATTTCATTATGTGTAATTATGATGATGATGCATTTCTAATTAGGACAAGCATTTTTAGTTTACTTGTACCGTTACATCTTAATTGTAGTGATCATTTTATACTTAGTACCCTAATCTATTGTTATGTGTTGAAAATTCTATTCAAGGCCTAAATACTGGTGCAAGTAGATTTAGAATTGATTGATATTACTTTTGATGATTGTAAAGTGGTTAAGTTATGAAGTTATGTTATATTGACTTCCCTTATGATTTTTTATTAAAATTAGGGGTAACGAGTGAATATTCTATGCATGTGGTATACCTTTGTATTGGTGCATTATGTAGGTAGTCTTAAGTCCTAGGGACTTGTTTTAAGTGGGTGTTTAGGCTTTTGGCACTTGGCGTGTGTTTTGGACTCCTTAGAGTGGTGTAATTGTGAAAAAGGAGTGATTTTAGTTTCAGGTGTCCAGCTTTTTACTAAGATGAAATTTTGTTATGAAACTAATGCCATTAGCTAGCTTACTATCTAAGCTTTCTAGGAACACCTAGATCACCTCAATTAGATGTCAGACAAAGGCTCGAAGTGCATCAAAAGTTTACTACTAGTGTTGTGATATGACAACACAAGTGCTGTCTATAATATCTTAAAAATTTTAACTTAAGGTTAATTAAATAATTAAAGATAAATTAAATAATTGAGAGTTAACTCACATTAAAATATAATGTATGGATGACTAATAGGTCTATTAGACCCTAATTAGGGCTTAAAATTGGACCCTAGGTAGTATTGGGTCACATTTAGGCCCAATTAAATAAATAGTGTTCGGAATTTAGAATTTTGATTTTTAGCCATAGCCAAAGCTCAATTTTTAAGCCTTTAGATTTACATTTCAACTTAAAAAATTAAAGAGTTGAGTGAGAGTCTAAAGGTGAACGAAAAGGACTCTGCTAGTGTTTGTTGTGGGTGTCTAATTGAGTCTATTTAGATATTCTGATCACTTGGGTAAGTGCCTACAACCTCTTCTCTTCCTCTCTTATGTATTTTCATCATTGTTTATGGATAGTTCTTTAAGAATCTAAAAATGGGTTGTGATTTTGTCTAGAATTCTAACTTCTATAGGATTAATGAATGTTTATTTAAGTGTCTAACCCTTGGGTTATGGTACTAATGAAGTTTTAGGATTTCAAAGTGAAGGTTGAAGCAAACCCTAGAGCTAATTAATTGAGCTAAGAAAGTTATGAATTATTAATGCTGTTGATTAGATTAATAAGAGTTTAAGTGAACTAATGAAACCTAAAAATGGATTTAGTTGTAGGTAGATGACCACAATGAAATTTTTAAGTTTAGGTCTTGATTAGAGTTCATTAAAGATAATTAGTCATTAATGATTATTGATGTGTTTGATTATAGATTGACTATTGTTGGTGCTATTAAGGTTGTTGGAGGCTCTGACTGATATTCACAGGTACTCTTGGTTGGTAAACCAAGGGTTGAGGTAATCAAAAATTTAAATATAGTATATTATTATCTACATTTACACTTTAAGCATTATTATGGATAGCTTGAAATGAGCTCATGGATTAATATGTTGATTTTAAACTATTACCCAAATATAAAACATGACTCATTGTAATGAGGGTTTGGTGATTATATTTATATAAATGTTAAGCTTAGATTGCCTATGAGATGAATCTGTTAACATAATGAGTAATCGTAATTGATGATATTGGAAGAGATGTGGTAAGCATGTATATTTGTGATGAAATGCTTAATGATTATATTTATATAGATGTTA